CGTTGCCCTTGGAGCAATTCTTTGTCAGGAGCAGGAAGCTGGGCTGCAGCCAATAGCCTTTGAGTCAGGGAAGCTGACTGCTGCAAAGCGCACATACCCCATTCACAAGAGAGAGGCACTTGCTGTGGTGCATGCACTGAAGAAATGGCGCTGTTATGTGGAGATGCAGCCCGTCACAGTCTTCACTGGTCACAGAACACTGGAATACCTGAAAACACACTTACAGATTACACCACGACAGGCGCGGTGGGTTCAGTTTCTGGAGCAATGCGTCCCCAACCTGGAGATTGTGTACAAACCAGGGCTCTTCAACCCGGCCAGCAGCAGCAGATGAGCTGAATGTCATCGGTGTGGTTTCATGGGACCGCAACTTCATCACTCGTTTCAGCCGAGGTTACAACCGTCACCAGCTGTACCAACAGAGAGCTCCACATGACCCTTATTTTCTTTTCAACAACCCTTTTTGGACCCGTGCAGATTCTGGTACTATTTGTGTACCTGATGACTCCAGGCTCCGCCAGCTGCTACTACACGAGTAGTATGATAACCGTTCACACTTCGGCATTAACAAGACGTATGCTGCCATTTCTCGTGACCACTACTGGCCTCAACTGTTTCGGAGTATAGCAGAGTATGTTTCTTTATGCCCTACCTGTCAGGTCAACAAAGCTTGCACCATAGTACCAGCTGGTCTGTTGCAACCGCTGGAGATACCGTCACTTCCCGCATGACCATACATCCTGTTTTTCACATACACCTTCTTCGTCCCTACCGTACTCCCTCTCATCCATTTCAGCCACGTCCACCCATGTTCTCTGCCCATCTTGACCTGCATGAGGTCGAATCCATCCTCTCACACCATGACACCCCACATGGCCGTGAATATCTTATTCACTGGCGCAACACATCTGCATCTGAAGACTCATGGGAGCCTCTTTCCAACCTCAGCCATGCTCTTCGCGCGTGGGCCAGTTGAGAAAGTCCCTCCATGGGATCAAACATGCACCAAGAGCCTGGCAGCAGTATCTACACAACATCCTACTCGAGATAGGATTCACACAGCTGCCTCACGATCCTGGAATGTATCGCCGGAATTTCCGTAGCGACTACGTTGTGCTCACGGTCTACGTCGATGACCTACTCTGTACAAGATCAAGCAACAAACTCCTCGATCAGCTCGAAAAGAACCTAGTGACACGCGTCAACATCACCTGCAACCATGACGTGAAACAGTTCCTGGGACTAAACATCTCGTACGCCCCAGAGGCCATTCACCTCTTAGTTGCCAAGTATGCCAAAACACTTGGCAAACGCTTCAATATTTCGCCTGCACCACTCTCCACCCCTTACCGCACTCCCGGACCGAACCACAAACCCGACAACAAATCGTGTCTTTTGTCGGTCTCCAAACTTACCAACAGCAGTTGGGATGCCTGCTCTTTGCCTTAGTGACCTGCAGGCTAGACTTCTCGTACATCGCGAGCCAACTGGCTTAGTACTCTCGCAAACCAACGGCTGAGAATCTCCTAGATATTCAGTGCGCCTTGCAATTCTTCATTTCCACGCCCAATATCGGGCTCTGCTACTCCACAGTCATGACCTCGTCTTTCAACCTCCCCGGCTACGTAGACGCCGATCATGCTGCTTACTCCGACAATCGACGGTAAAAAAATCGGGTTCCTGTTTCGCCTCGAACCAACAGGACCCATCTCGTGGAACTCGCAGAAGTAGAAACTGGTTGCCGTGTCATCGATGGAAGCTGAATTTATCGCCGCGACAGCAACAGTTTGCGAAGGACTTTACCTGCAGGAAATCCTGCAAGAGGCAAAAATCCTGATCTCACCAACCTTTCGCCTGCACTGTGACAACCAAAGTGCGATCAGAATTGCCAACAAGCCAGGATTCGTCAACAGCACCAAACACATCGCGTTGCGGTACTTTTTCATCTAGGACGAAGTAGACAAGGGCAAGATCAACTTGACCTATTGCCTAACGGGTGACATGGCAGCCGTCTTCCTCACGAAGCGACTATCATGTCATCAGTATCAGCACTGCTCCGAACTCAGCGGGATAGTTAAGCAGGTCAAGACTTGCTACGGCCAGGAGTGAAGGGGGTGTTTCGAATTGTAAATTATGAAAAACACTGTGCACTCCCAACAGTAGCAAGTGACGCACGTATGAAAGAGTATGAAGAAGAAAAGGTGGATTGGCGGGAAAGGTCAAGTACACTTGCGAAACATCTGGACCGTCGGAGCAGAAGCATTGTTGTAGTGGCAAGGACTTGGCGGGAACAGTTTCGTAACCACCTGGAGTCGCACGGTTGGATTTCGCAGCAATAAGGGAATGTACCCTTTAGAGTACATGGCTAGCTAGGTCGTTTCGTATCCCCCCTGTACTCTTATTTATATGTATGTATTTGCATATTTTTATCGTCTCAGTCCATTTAAATTCACTATGATCCGAGGTCAATATCTTCCGTTGCAATACTCAATCTCTGCGAACCTTCCTGAGGTGATCCTAGGCACGATCCCCTTGGAGATCGCAATAAGACACTTGTCAAACTTATATACTATAGTATGTGTAGGCTGTAGTGGGGTAGCTCATATGGGGTACAACACTTTAGGGTTTGGTACTTGTACTCCTCATGCTGCTCAATGCAATCATTCCTCGTTCTTCTTTTCACATGGTTTCAGAGCAGGTTCCCTAGTGGGAACTTTTCCTAGGGCCCACTAATATCGAGTTTTTTTTTCCTGCCCGGGGCGCGCGTCGCCCCTGCCCGAGTCGCGATCGGTGAGCCGCCCTTAGCGGCCCCGTCGCCACCCTTAGCGGCCCCGTCGCCGCCCTTAGCGACCCCGTCGCCTCCCTTGGCGGCCCCCGTCCCCACCCTTACGCGACCCCGGCGCCGCCCGACGCGGCCCCGACGCCGCCCTCTGCGGCCCCGTCGCCTCTTGCGGCCCCGTCGCCGCCCTCGCGGCCCCTGTCGCCGCCCTTCCGCGGACCCGTCGCCGCCCCTTACGGCCCCGTCGCCGCCCTCCCCTTCGCGGCCCCGTCGCCGCACCCCCTTCGCGGCCCCGTCGCCGTCCCTTGCGGCCCCGTCACGCCCCCCCCCTTCAGGCCTCGTCGCCGCCTCCTACGGCCTCCGTCGCCGCCCTGTGCGGCCTCGTCGCCGCCCCCCTTTCGGCCCCGTCGCCGCCACTTGCGACCACGCCGCCGCCTGTCCGCGGCTCTGCCGCCCCTCGCGACCCTGACGCCGCCCTACCACCGAGCCGCCGTGTCGCTGAGCCGCCGAGCCGCCGGATCGCCGAGCCGCCGAGCCGCCGTTGCCGCCGAGCCGCCGAGCTGCCGGGCCGCCGAGCCGCCGTTGCTGCCGAGCCGCCAAGCCGCCGAGCCGCCGAGCCGCCGAGCCGCCGAGCCGCCGTTGCCGCCGAGCCGCCGAGCCGCCGAGCCGCCATTCCCAGCAAGTCTTGGCCTCTCTCGCCTGCCCGGTAAGAGCAGCGCCTCTGTCACTGCACTGCCCTTAGCCTACTGCTTCCACTGCTGTCATGGCCACCCCCAGTGTTCTCACCTTTGACGCTGAGGGTCGGGCTGTTGACTTTGAGGTCTGGATAGATGATCTGCAGCTCTTCCTACAGTGCGATAGGGCAGACGGTCTCTCCCTCTTTGACCTCACCTCTGGTGCCTCTCCTGCCCCTGCTGCTGATGCTGACCCCACTGTTCGCTCACAGTGGGCCACGCGCGATGCTGCTGCCCGCCTTGCTGTGCGCCGCCACTTGCCGACCGCTGAGCGTGCGCACTTTAGCCAGTACAAGAGTGCTAAGACCTTGTACGACGTGTCAAACATTATATGTGTTGTGTTTGTGTAGGCTGTAGTGGGTTAGCCTATAGGGGGGTCACAACATTAGGGTTTCATATTTGTACTCACAATCCTTTCTAGTTCACCATTCCAGTCCGTTATCACTGACATGGTTTCAGAGCAGGTCCGTCGCTAGGACTGTTCTTAGGGCCCACCTACCTACCTACCTACCTACTGTGCGCCTCGTGCGCCTGCGCGTCCTAGAGCGCTCCTTACCTACCTACCACGCGCACGCAGCTCGCTAGCCGCCCGCGCGTGGCTTTCCTTTTTTTTTTTTACCGCGCGCGCCGTACTAGCCGCTCGCGCGCGGCCGTTTTCACGCGTGCGCCCTGCCAACTGCCCGCGCGCGCTTTATTTTCTTCGCGCGCGGCCCGTCGCGCTGCCTCCCCGCTGCCCGCGCGCCTTTGCGCTGCTGCCCGTGCGCCTCGTGGCCTCGCGCACTGCCCGCCGCTGCCCTGTGCGCCACGCTGACGCACCCGCTGCTGCAGCCGCCCGTCGCCTGCTCGCGCACGCCCCGCAGGCCCGCAGCCCGCCGTCGCAGAGGCCGCACGTCAGCAGCCGCCCGTCGCCTGCTCGCGCACACCCCGCAGCCGCCCGTCGCCTGCTCGCGCACGCCCCGCAGCCGCCCGTCGCCTGCTCGCGCACGCCCCGCTGCCCGTAGCCGCCCGTGCGCCGCTGCCACTGCCGCACGTGCGCATACGCAGCTGCCGCCCGTGCGCTGCTTCCGCTGCTGCTTGCGCACCGCCGCCTCCTGCCGTCGCCGCACGTGCACTGCTGCCGCCTGTGCGCCGCCGCTGCCCGTGTGCCGCCGCTGCCCCTACGCTGCCGCTGCCCATGCGCCGCTGCTGCCCGTGCGTCGCTGCCGCTCGTGCACCGCTCGCAGCCGCTGCCGCCCGTGCGCTTCTGCAGCCGCCGCCCGCGAGGCGCTCGCTCCCACTGTTTTTTCTACCTACCGCGCACACTGCTGCCGCTGCAGCTGCCACCAGTGCGCCGTTGCAGCTCCTGCTGCCACGCTCCCTACTACTGCCGCTCGTGTGCCACTACGGACAGTCGACCCCGCCCGCGCCTTACCTAGCGGCCCCGCCGGCCCCGTTGACCCTACGCACACCTTTCCAGCGGCCTAGTTCCTACTCCTACTACTGTCACTATGGCTAGTCCTCCCGTTCTAGCTTTCGACGCCGAGGGCCGTCCGGTGAAGTTCGAAACCTGGCTAGATGACCTGCACCTGTTCCTACAGCTCACTGCCAAAGAAGACATCTCGCTGTACGACCACGCCCTAGGCCATGCTACTGCCCCTGACACGTCTGCTGACAGCACTCTACGCTCTCAGTGGCAGACTCGTGATGCGCACGCTCGCTTTGCTATTCGCAACTCCCTGCCGCTAGACGAGCGCGAGCACTTCGGCCAGTGCAAGACTGCTAAGGACCTCTACACCGCTGTAGTTGCCCGTTACTCCTCACCCGCTTCTGCTACGCTAGGCCGCCTCACTCTCCCCTACCTGTTCCCCGACCTAGCCTCCTTTCACACTGTCGCAGACCTCATCACCCACCTTAAGACTAGTGAGGCCCGCTTTCGCGCTGCTATGCCTGCCGAGTTTCTCACTAGCAACCCCCCCCCGCTCTGGATCACTCTCTACCACATCGTCACCCGCCTCCCTGACTCTCTGCGCGCAGTCAGGGACCACTTCCTCTCTCGCTCCCCCACTGAGCTCACTGTTGCCCTCCTCGAGAAGGAACTGCTTGCAGCTGAGGCGAGCATCGTCGCTGTAGGCACCTCTCGTGGCGACCCCCGCACCCCGTTCTTCGAGGGGTGTTCCCCTTCCCCCCTCCTCCCCTCTGTCGCCTCTGCTGCTGCTGTCGACCTCCTTGGTGCTGAGAAGGTCGGGACCGCGTCTGCTTCGAGCGGGCGCCGCAGGAGCAAGGGAGGCAGGGGTGGGGGTGGTGGCGGAGGAGGTGGGGGTGGAGGCGGTGGGAGTGGAGGCGCGACTGGGGAGGCTAGTGGCGGCAGTGGGGGAGGAGACAGCAGCGGCGGGAGCGGTGGCAGGGGTGGAGGCGGCAGCGGAGGTGGAGGTGGTCGTGGCGGCGGCAGGGGTGGAGGTGGCCGAGGCGGTGGTGGTGGCGGTGGTGGTCGTGGAGGCACTGGCGGAGGCCCGAGTCAGCAGCCCGCCCCGACGCTTCAGGCCGCCCGTGAGTGGTATGCGCAGCGTGGCTTTACCTGCACGTACGTCATTCGCACAGGTGACCGCAGCGGCCAGCAGTGTGGGAGGCCGCACCCCACGCACCGCTGCTTCGCGCGCCTTAACGACGCGTGGCGCACCCAGTTTCCTGATGCCGCTGAGCTGCCGCGCTGGGCTGATCTGGAAAAGAGGGGTGTTGATATTTGGGCTCTAGACTTTGATGCTATTCTCACTGCCATGTATGCCATGTCTATTAGTGGAGAGGGTGCTCAGTACTTGCGTGTTCCGCCCGACCCGGGCATTCAGGCCAGTCCGGCTGCTGCTCTAGGTGCTAGTGCGTCTGCTCCCACAGGTCCTGGTGAGGCTGCTGCCCTAGGTGCTAGTGCGTCCGTGCCCCCTGGTACTGAGTTGACTGCAGCACTGCACACCTTCACACTGGACTCAGGTGCCTCTCGCTCTTTCTTTCGTGACCGCACTGTCCTTGAGCCACTCGCTCGGCCAATTGCTGTCTCCCTTGCTGACCCCTCTGGGGGTCCGGTCATTGCGACCTCCTCCACTGTTCTTCCTTGTCCTGCGGTCCCGTCCGGCACGCTTTCAGGTCTCTACCTCCCCTCGTTCTCTACGAACTTGGTGGCGGGTTGTGCGCTCCAGGACTCGGGTGTTCACCAGTTCACCCCTGCCTACGAGCGCGTGACACACTGCACATGTGCTCGGACGGGTCGCCACCTGGCTACTTTCACTCGAGAGCCGGGGTCGGACCTGTACACACTGACCACTGAGTCCCCTCAGGTAGCTGCGTCTGCGTCTACGTCTGCGTCTGCGTCAGGTCAGCTGTCCGCCCCCTGCTCGTGTCGCTCTCTGGCGCATGAGACTGTCCTTTGGCACCACCGCCTTGGTCACCCGTCTGTGCAGCGCCTTCGGACCATGCACAAACGGGACCTTGTTGCTGGTCTTCCCAGGGTGCTCCCTCCCCTTCCCGACTCGCCTGCTCCTCCCTGTATTCCCTGTGTCGAGGGGCGGCAGCGCGCCGCTCCTCACTCCTCCTCCTTTCCCCCGACGACTGCTCCCTTGCAGACGCTCCACTTGGACGTGTGGGGCCCAGCCCGCGTCCGTGGACAGGGTCAGGAGCGGTACTTCCTGCTCGTTGTTGACGACTTCTCGCGCTACACCACGGTCTTCCCCTTGCGAGCCAAGGGTGACGTACCTGATGTCTTGATCCCTTGGATCCGCAGATCTCGTCTCCAGCTCACCAGGCGTTTCCGCTCCGACTTTCCTGTCCTGCGTCTGCACTCTGACAGAGGTGGGGAGTTTTCCTCTGGCCTCCTGGAGGCCTTCTGTCAGCAGGAGGGCATTGAGCAGTCGTTCACGCTTCCGGCCTCTCCACAGCAGAATGGGGTTGCTGAGCGCCGCATTGGTCTAGTCATGGAGGTCGCTCGTACCTCCTTGAGTCATGCGGCTGCCCCCCATTTTCTGTGGCCGTTTGCGGTCCGATACGCTGCGCATCAGCTCAACCTCTGGCCTCGTGTCTCCTTGCCCGAGACTTCTCCGACACTGCGTTGGACGGGAGAGGCTGGCGATGCGTCGCGTTTTTGGGTCTGGGGATCTTGAGCTTTTGTCCGCGACACGTCCGCGGACAAGCTCTCCCGTCGCGCTGTCCCCTGCGTCTTCCTTGGCTTTGTCCCAGACGCCCCTGGTTGGCAGTTCTACCACCCCACCTCGCGTCGTGTCCTGGCCTCTCAGGACGTCACTTTTGATGAGTCCGTCCCCTACTACCGCCTCTTCCCCTACCGCACTGCCCCGCTCCCCCCCCCGCCTCTCTTCCTCGCTCCAGGTGCTGAGGTACCAGACCCCCTCCCCCCTCAGGGTGCCGCTCCCTCAGGTGTGTCCCAGGTAGACCCGGGTGAGCCGGTCGAGGTAGCTGTTGACTCTCGTCCTGCGTCTGGGGGTGCTGAGCCTGGGGGTGCTGAGTCTGGGGGTACTGAGCCTGGGGGTGTTGAGCCTGGAGGTGCGGAGCCTGGCGGTGCGGAGCCTGGAGGTGCTGAGCCTGGGGGTGCGGAGTCTGGGGGTGCTGAGTCTGGGGGTGCTGCGCCTGGGGGAGCCCTCTCCTCCCAGCAGCTGCAGGAGAGGTACCTCGAGTACTGCCGCCTCCGGAGAGGTGCTGCTGGAGCTCGTCCCGGTACTTCCCCTCCTACCCAGGAGCTCCCCCCCATTCAGCAGATCCGAGAGTGGTACACACGCCGCTGCAGTCTTCGGAGTGGTCCTCCGGGTGCTGCGGACCTTGGGGGTGGCGCTGCTACTGGTGCTGAGGACCCGGGCGTTGGGGCTGCTGCTGGTGCTGAGGACTCGGGCGTTGGAGCTGCTGCTGGTACTGCGGACCCGAGCGGTGGCGCTGCTGCTGGTGCTGAGGACCCGGGCGTTGGAGCTACTGCTGGAGCTGAGGACCCGGACGGTGGAGCTGCTGCTGGTGCTGAGGACCCGGGCGGTGGAGCTGCTGCTGGTGCTGAGGACTCGGACGTTGGAGCTACTGCTGGAGCTGAGGACCCGAGCGGTGGTGCTGCTGCTGGTGCTGAGGACCCGGCTTGTGGAGCTGCTGCTGGTGTTGAGGACCCGGACGTTGGAGCTGCTGCTGGTGCTGAGGACCCTGCCGCTGGTGTCTCTGCTGGTTCTGGAGACGCTACGCGGCCGCGACCGTACTTCGTACCACTTCTTCAGCAGGTTCTTGGTCAGGCTCCTCCTCCCTGTCCTCCTCCCTCAGTAGAGTGTCCTCCGCGTGTCCAGTCGCCGTCACAGTTACCGCCTGCCTCGCCTCTCCCTGCTCCCTCTCCTTACACTGGTCCCACGGGAGGTCTTACAGAGCGTCGTGAGCCTGAGTCTCGTCCTGCGTCGCCTGTTCGTACTACTCGCACTGGTCGTCGTGTCCCACGTGAGCGTCCTCCTCCTGTCCCTGGCACTCACTACATGACTCTGCATCCCTCCAAAGCTCCTCAGCGTGTCCCGCTACCGTCTCCTCCTGCTTCCTCTCTGCCTACTCTTCCTGACCCGGAGTCTGACTCCTGTCGTGCTGCCAGTCCCACTGTCACCCGTCTCCTCGCTACTGTTGTCACTGACCCTGCCTTTGAGTCCTCTGCTGCGTCTGCTCTAGTCGCTGAGTTGATCGACTTTGCTGCCCGGTGTCGTCTAGACTACGCCACTAGCCTTGTTGCTGAGTCTGAGTCTGAGTCTGTCTGTCCTCCGTCTGTCGGGGGTGAGTGTGCTCTTGGCACGGACGTCCTTGAGGACAGACAGGAGGAGTTCCAGTGCTTTGCTGCTGCTTTACCCCACCTCGTGTCCATGCTAGTTGCCCCTGAGGGAGACCCGGATGCACCAGACATCCCGACCCCGCGCACTTACGCTGAGGCGATGGCGGGTCCCTACTCCTCTCAGTGGCAGACAGCCATGGACGCAGAGATGGCTTCCTGGAAGTCCACACGCACCTACGTCGACGAGGTTCCCCCACCTGGGGCGAACATCGTCAGTGGCATGTGGATTTTCGGGGTGAAGCGGCCACCGGGTTCTCCTCCTGTCTTCAAGGCGCGCTACGTGGCTCGAGGCTTCAGTCAGCAAGAGGGAGTTGACTTCTTTCAGACCTTCTCCCCCACCCCGAAGATGACCACTCTTCGGGTGCTGCTGCACATAGCCGCTCAGCGCGACTACGAGCTTCACTCACTTGACTTCAGCACTGCTTTCTTGCAGGGCAGCCTGCACGAGGAGATTTGGCTGCGCCGCCCTCCTGGCTTCACTGGGTCGGTTCCTCCTGGTACCCAGTGGAGGCTTCAGCGGCCGGTCTACGGTCTCCGCCAGGCACCGCGTGAGTGGCACGACACACTGAGGATGACACTTGCGGCTCTTGGGTTTGCTCCCTCTACTGCTGACCCGTCACTGTTTCTACGCACAGACACCTCACTGCCGCCGTTCTACATCCTCGTGTACGTCGACGACTTGGTCTTTGCCACTGCTGACACCGCGGCACTTGCCCACGTGAAGTCGGAGCTGCAGAGGAGACACACTTGTACAGACCTGGGTGAACTTACAAGCTATCTTGGCTTGCGGATCACCCGGGACAAAGCACGGCGCACCATCACCTTGACTCAGTCACACATGGTGCAGCAGATCCTTCAGCGCTTCCGCTTCACGTACTCCTCGCCTCAGTCCACTCCTCTGCCTACCGGTCACTCGCTCTCAGCTCTGCCTTCGGATGAGTCCGTAGAGCCGAGTGGCCTGTATCCAGAGCTTGTGGGCTACCTCATGTACCTGATGACCTGCACTCGACCTGACCTTGCATACCCTCTTAGCATCCTTGCACGCTATGTCGCTCCTGGCCGTCACAGGAAGGAGCACATGGATGCCGCTAAGAGGGTGTTGCGCTACTTGTGCAGTACGTCGGGCATGGGGCTAGTGCTTGGAGGGCGAGACCGAGTTGTACTTACTGGACACTCAGACGCTTCTTGGGCGGACGACCAGGCTACTCAGCGGTCGTCTCAGGGTTACACCTTCAGCCTTGGCTCCGGCTCAGTTTCTTGGCGTTCTACACGCTCTTCTTCTGTTCTCAGCTCCAGTTGTGAGGCTGAGATCTACGCCACAGCCATGGCTGCCCAGGAGCTACGCTGGCTGACCTACCTGCTGACCGACTTGGGTGAGCGGCCTCGTTCTCCTCCAGTGCTGTACGTCGACAACCAGGCTGCCATTGCCTTGTGTGAGGAGCACAGACTGGAGCACAGAACGAAGCACATCACCCTGCGGTACTTCCTTGCTCGAGAGCTGCAGCAGCGCGGTCAGCTTTGTCTGCGTTACGTGGCCACTGAGGCCAACCTTGCTGATGTGTTCACCAAGGCGCTTCCGCCTTGTGACCATCAGCGCTTCTGCACTCTGCTAGGCCTTGTGCCTACTGGACCTCACTTACTTACCTCTTGACCTTGCTTGTACTGTGATCACTATATATATATCTACCTGCATGTTTACTCTTGCTAGGTTGTGATCACTGTATCTCATGCTCTGTTATAAACCTGCATGTGAACTGGTCTTGTGACCACTAGCTTGTGCTCGGAATTTGTGTGGTATCCTTGAGATCCACCCTGAGCTTGTTGTTGCCTTGCTTTGCCTTGACTGGTCTTGTGACCCCTAGGTCTCCCCCACTTTGCCTATGGGGGTGTGTCAAACATTATATGTGTTGTGTTTGTGTAGGCTGTAGTGGGTTAGCCTATAGGGGGGTCACAACATTAGGGTTTCATATTTGTACTCACAATCCTTTCTAGTTCACCATTCCAGTCCGTTATCACTGACACGATGCTGTAGTCGCACGCTACTCTTCCCCTGCCACTGCTGCACTTAGCCGCCTCATCCTGCCGTACCTTTTCCCTGACCTCGCCGCTTTTCCCACTGTCGCTGACCTCATTACGCACCTTCGCACTAGTGACACTCGCTACCGCGCTGCGCTTCCTGCTGAGTTCTGCGCCAAGAACCCCCCCCCCATGTACATCACCCTCTACTACATAGTCACCCGGCTCCCTGACACCCTTCGCCCGGTTAGGGACCACTTCCTCTCTGTTTGCCCCACCACCCTCACCGTTGACCTCCTCGAGGAGCGCCTTCTAGCGGCAGAGAAGAGCATAGTCATTGTAGGAGCCTCTCATGGTGACCCTCGTGCCCCTGTCTTTGAGGGGTGCTCCCCCTCTCCCCTCTTGCCCTCTGTTGCCTCTGCTGCTGCGGCCGACCTCGTTGGTCTTGAGTCGGTCGCTGCGGCGTCTGCCCCTAGCG